TGCTTATTTATGACGTCTTGTTTGAGTTGGGGCTTCTTCTTTTTAATTATTTGGTGTCAGGTTTTCCTATCAGTCCTTCCATGTTCTATGTGATTGGCAAACACCTATGAGGGAGAAGTCGATCCCCATCAGTGATCTCATATTGGTAAAAAGCCAAGAACTCTGAAAGAGGTTTTGTGGGGAAAATAAATATTTCCTACACCAAGAAACATTTTCCTGCCTAGCTATAGATTGTTCATTTGTTTGAAGGTTTTCAAACCGCATGCTTTTGGTGTGTCGTCTTTCGAGTTGAGAGAGATACCATCTTGAGTTGTACTAATAATGTAAGTCAACCGTATCCAACAAAGAAGGCTTTCTCCTTGGCTCATGTGTAGAGATCAGAGTCTGAAGTGGAATTAACAGAATGTTGGCCTGAATCGGAGATGTTATTTAGAACACACTGGAGACATTGTGATGTAATTGTGTTCTGAGGCAGAGAAATGTTAGTCTACATTTTACAGAATATCCACTTCAATGTACGCATTGTACCTGGAGTTATAAAAAGCAAAACAGGCGCTCCAGGCCTGTCTGGGGTTTGGTCACCTTCCTTTCCACTCAGGTCTGAGCCAGGATGAGAAAACCTAGGTCAGTAGTTTATCAACTTGGCTTCAAGCCAGGTGGGCTGCCAGTCCTCCTCTGACCTCAGGACCCCAGCACCTGTGTCCAGAGGCAGCCACGATCCTGGAGGTCAATTTAAACTTTAACTAATGGCACCGAGCAGTGCCTTCCTCCCAACAGTACCTATTCTCTACCCAGCCCTCATGAGGCCCATCTCCCAGGGGCTTCCACTTCTGCATGCCTTCTTCTGATTCAGAGCCATCTATTCCATTTTCCAATTGTGCTTTACATTTATATGCCTCTTTTCACTTCTAAGAGTATTTTATGTATTTACTCTAATGAAGGACTCTCCATTGAGCTGAGAGCAGGCTAGACAGTGGACTTGTCCCAGTCTATAAATGAGGGCACTGTAGCTAGAGAGGTTAATGACATGCCCAAGGTGCAGAGGAGACTTCAGAGATTGTACCTCAATCATGATCATTGGAATCAAGTTCTGCTGACTCTTCATTGTAATGCTTTTTTCCCCCATAGGAAAAACATGTTTAAATAGGTATAATCTAGTGATAGAGGAATTTATAGTAAGTTCAAAAACATACACATGTATTCCTTCCCCACTCCTGTAGTTTGTTCTTGGGTGTGTACATAGCAGCTTTATCTTAACAATGCCTTGTCCATCATAATAGATGAGAACATCTTATACGAAGAATGCCCATGCCTCTGGTACATGGAAAACTATCACCCTTGAAAGGAGTCTAGGAGAAACCCCTTTCTGGGAAGATTCCATTGTACATAATTCATAGACTCTCAGAATTGGAAGAGACAGTATGAGTCATCCAGTTCACCATGTGTTTGATAGTTAAATCCTTGGTTAGATCCCTTCTGAATCCTTGAAGGTTTGTGGAGTGAGTTTCATGAACAATCTTTGTTATTATACATGACCCTTCATGGCTTAAAAATACTTCTGTGTTCTACCAAACTAAGTAAAATGTTGACTATTCAAGAGAAACAGCTATTTCTTTCTTTCTTGGGTCATCTGAGTTTTCAAATGTTCCATTTGAATAATTTTTCTTAGAATTCGTTAGCTGTTAAGAAAATTGCAAAAAAAAAATTAAAAAAGAAAATTGCATATCAGATATCTGTTTAATGCTTTTGTTTAATAGAATGTAATTTAAAAAATGTTACTAAATGATGGTAGTTTTCTTTTTTTTTTCTTTGTGTGTTTCTCTGTCTTTATTTCCAAGCTAGATGCCAGTTTTCCCCCTACAATTGTTAACCACTTACCTATGTTTGGTTTGTGTAACGTACACTTGGTGTTCTTGTGAATGTTTTCCTTTCTTTTGTGCTTTTAGCCAGAGGTATTGAAGAAGAGAGGGAGGCTTTGAGATTAAATATTTTAGTGAAAGATAATGGAAGGCATATAATGAACCTGAGGCTCTTGAAAATTCAGCAGGAAGCAGTAAGTAGGACGGGTTGTTTCCTCTGCTTGCCTTTGAATAGGAATGCATCCCACACTGACGGAGCCTCCAGTGCATGTGTTGTAGGGTTACTCAGCAATGTGCACTTAACAAATCTCTATCTTGAACCAGTGTTTCTTAGAATTAAAAGCAAAGGGTAAACCCTATAGTCAGCGTATAGAGCTCTAACTTCTCTACTAAAATCGTGGGTTACATTTAATATTACTTTCAGCTAGGAGTGTACTTGTGGGAAGTTTCACAATTCATTGGGTGATGTATTGTGGTTTATAGTGTACCTAAGAACATTTCATTAGCAAATGGAACATCCATTATAAGCTCTTAGGGTGGCTTTTATTTCAGTTTAACAAATTTGCTTTGTAAGTCGAAATGAATTTTTTTGCCTATGAAGACTTGCATAGTATCTTTAGTTCTTATTTAACAATCTTTTTCCATAGACCCAAATAGTTCCAAGGAGAGGCTTGCATAGAGGCATGTGGATATTCTGTTACAAATATCTGTTCTGTCTACACAGCTTCTCTACTGTAAGTGGTTTAACTGGTCCCCTGCAGGGAGTGGAGAAAGGATATCTCAGAAGGCCAAAGGATTAACATTTTCCCAGAAAGTTTTTGATAGAAAGTCTAAGACTAGGAGAAGAGGAGTAATAATATGACCTAATATTCTGCAATTTGCAAATTTCCTAAGGGCTTCTGGGATATAAAATTTCATGTGTATGTATGTGTGTTAAACCCTGTGAGGTAACCATAACAGGTATTGTTGTCCTTATTTTTAAAATTAAGGAAGCAAGTCTTGGTCGTAGGTCAAGTCACTTCCCATTGTCACCTGTTAAAGTAGATCTTGGTTTAGAACCCAGATATCAGGATCTGAAGTTCATTGCACCTTGTTCTCCTCCAGTACCTTCCCCTTGAGCCGGAAGACCATACATTTTCAGAGTCTTTTTACTTAAATTTCTTTAAGTGGTAGCTTGGGGGTGGGGGAAGGATCAAGGCAGTAACACCGGAACAGGTATGGCTGCTGGGAACAGGATGGACAGGCTTTCCAATCATTGATTCATTTGTCTCTTGGTATGACACTCCTTTTTGTGAGCCGTCTTTACTGTTCCTCTGGGGTTTTGTCTGTCCGTCAGAATTCTTCCCCATGTTTCCTTGCTGCTGTTCTCTTCTGCATACCACTGTTCCTGGTCCTGGAGACCATGCTTAGCACCGTAAATCCTAGAGCAAATGATTGTTCACCCTTCTCTTGAGTAAGAAAGTCAAGGTTAAAATACACTGTCTCTATTGAGGTCAATCATAGGGGAAGAGTGATTTGATAGGACCTCTGCTCCCAGATATCTTTTACTCCTCGCTTTATGCTAAATCACTAGCATTTTCCCATGTCCTTGAATATCATTTCAAAGCATTTTTCATGATTCTGCAGCATTGTGTGGCATAAATTTAGCAAAATTTATTTGTGTTCTTCTATTTTGGATATTTAAGTTATTTTCCAGTTTTTGCTGTGATGGACATCACGGAAAAAATTGACTCCTTGGAGAAACGGAACTATTAGCTGCTTAAAGAGATACAAACCTGGTTTAATGATTTGCCCCGATTGATCCATCAGTACATTGTAACAGTTGTTTCAATCACATAAATACATGATTATTTTTCTGAAGTAATACAGTAGTGACATAAGTTTTATTTTCAGATGGAGAAAATGAATAGAGATGATTAATGAAAGGAAGAGACTTCACAATTGTGTCTTCAGTATTCTGACCATAGAATTTTATTTAATGGTTTATGCTTTTATAAAAGGTTGGTGCAATGGCAATATTTTTAACGTAGCAAGTTGATGCATAAGTGTATAAATCTGAAACATCTAAACCCAATTATAAGTAATCACTACTTCGTAAGAGTCATTACTTCGAAAGAGTCATTACTTCATTGACTAGCTGTGTATTTTTGGTTAGGTATACTCCTTAAACATTTTGAGCTTGACTTTTTTTTGTCACGCATATTGAAAAGGGCTCAGCAATTAAGAGCAAATTAGTAGAAATTGAAGAGCCAACTTTTGAATTTTTTAGAGTTTTATTTGCTGCCTTTAGTTTCCTGTGGGTACATGCAGATGGGTTGGGAGGGAGAGGGGGAGGCGTGAGAGGTTTCTGCAAAGCTGTAAGTCCCTCTCCTCCCTTCTCAATGGGACTCATGTCTCTGCCCACTGCCCAAGATCCAGACACAACAGGCAATGAATGAATAGACCAAGTTTGTTCTTGGTGTTCTCCCCTTTTCCTTCCTGGGTTTCTGTTTTTCTGTCCAATTTCTACTTTCCCCAGGTGACAAATACCTTTTTTCTACTCAAACCTCCTCAACATGGCACCCACCAAGGCCCATATTTTTGGGAAGGTCTCATTCTCCCAATTTGTCTTTGCCATCCCCAATCAGCAGGAAGTCACCTTTCTCAACATTATCTTCCCCAGGTGCCTTTGCTTCTAAGTGTGCTCCTAAATAAGTCACTGCTTTAATCTTACTTTGCTTCTGTTTGGCTAGCTCAGTGTGAGGGTCATGGAGTTCTGTTTACTTTTCAGGCAAACTTTGATGGAGAGGGCTACAAGGTAAAAGTGGAATTGGAAAGTCACAGAAGTTTAAAAAAACGTAAGAAGAAGGCCTTGCCATTGGAAAAGAGTGTTTCTTCTTTTCCCAATCTGTGGTGGGGGAAAGCAAGCAGGAATCTGACTTGAATAAACTCTTAGGATGAAGTTATACACAGTGAATCACCTGTCTCTGCATTCTTTCCAAAGGATGGCTCTTAGCATTCACACTTGTGATAACTTATGTTTGCTGAGTACAAGAGCCCAGGACAGCCAATTAAGGAAGAAGTGGCCAGTTCTGTTAGGCAGCCTTTGTGCTACTGTAATAGGGTGGGTAATTGTCTGTTTTTTTCCTCCTTAACTTCTAGTGCCTGAAACAATATATGCAGCTGGCAATCCGAGAAGGATGTGGGTCTCCCATCACTTGCCCAGACATGGTGTGCCTAAACCATGGGACCCTGCAGGAAGCTGAGGTATGTATGGCTGCCATAATCTTCCCTTGATATTATTTATTAACATAGTGACTCTTTATGTACCTCCATACCAGGGAGTCTAGCAACGAAATAGAGATTAACTTCATAAAGGCATACTTTATTGCTGCTTACCTTGGGATTCTTTATACAAACTGTTAAAGCTGTCATTTAGCTCAGTTCTGTTTATATGAGCCATCCTGAGTGTCGAGGCAGCTCTAGCATAGGCAAAGGTGCTAGAGATCAGATTTATCAAACATGAGGTTTGGAGGCTGAGTAGTGAGTGGTCCTGTGATTTTTATTACCTTAAAGATAAATAGACCATAGATTAGCCACAGATACAGAAAATATAAATGATTTTGATTTTACAGTGGTAGCTTAAATTGAACCATTTCCAAGCATCAGAGAGAGGCCTTTTGGTTGATCTGTATTGGGAATCAGAAATATCTTTCTTTTTTGAGTGAGTTCTTCTCCCATTTTCTTAAGACTGTGATTTAACTCTTTCTTTTGTTTATTTAATCCCTGGTCATTGACTCACCCTTAAATCTGCCTTTTTATCTTCAGACCCTGTTCACTTTAAATCAGAATATAATGAACTCTTGTCCAATCTTAGTGGGGTGTGAGCCTCTGAAAGATGCCCCAAGAAACAGATGAAATAAATTATTTGTCCAGCAAACACAGAACACCTGCTTTGCACCAGGCACCCTTCTAGTTGCATTCTTGGCCAATATACTATCCAATTCTCTCAGCAAACTTCATGAAATTGGGTCTTACTTTCAGATAGGGAACCTGAGGCCCACAAGGTTTAAGCAACTTACCCAAAAGTGTATATCTAGAAAGTAGAAGAGATATAATTCTAATCTAGTTCTTTCTAACCATCTTAACTACATGGCTTTAAGAGTAGAAGTGGGTAGGTAAGGACTTGGTAATTTTTAGCTCAATAGTGTGCATATGTGTGTATGTAGAAATATATGTGCATGTATATATACTGTACATGCTTTATGAATATATATGCTTTTATGTATATATACTTTGCTTTGTAAGCAAAGCAGTCAGAAAGATGGTATAGATGATTTCTAACCAATCTGTATCTGGGTATCCTGTGTTCAGTTTATGGAATATCAGCTGAGTGGTACACGTGAGGTAGAAGTGTCTTTTAGGGATGCATAAAAGGAATACATAATGGTTTAAAAGTGACTCATTTTAAGGAAATCATGAAATAATTTTTGCGATAAAAAGGTAATATTGACTATGTAAATCCTACGGTGAGAAATATTGTTTACTTTTGTGTGGGTAGGATAAAAGGAAATTATAGTTGGGGGGAAATTAGACTAGCTATTAAGAATACTGTTGATCTATGTCACTTAGAAATTGTTTTTCAAATGAGCCTCTGGTGTTTGCAAGCATCTGTTTCTGCATAATCCTTCCAGGAAAGATGCTTCCTTTTTGACTTGCTCCTCTGGTGTCTCAACGGTCAACAAGTGTTAATAAAGAGCACAGTATGCTGGGCCCTCTTCCAGGCTAGGATAGAGAGGAGAATAAGGCAGGCCCACCAGTACTCTCCTCGTGGAGCTTCTGATCCAGCAGAGAGACATTGAACAGACAACAAATCTGATAGTTATAGAAGTGAAATGTAAGAATTGGGGCAGGCAGTAAGAGCTGTGTCTGATGTGAAATCTTATTGAATTCATGTATGCAAAATCTATTAAACATAAATGAAATGAACAGTTTGGTGAAATTTCAAAACAAGCCTACGAAATTAATCAGAGTCCTATACTCTAGACCCATGCTGTTCAATCCAGTAGCCACTAGCCACCTGTGGCTATTTAAATCTAGATTAATTAAAATTAAATAAACTCAAAAATTCAGTTCTTCAGTTATGCTAGTCAGTAACTGATTTTAAGTGTTCAATAGCCATGATGGTTAATGATTACCAGATTGGACAGCACAGAATAGAACATTTCCATCATTGCAGAAAGTTCAATTACATAGTCTCGTTCTAGACTTTTCAATAAATGGTAGCCATCAGCCACTGACATATGGGATATTGAATGTCAGGGCTAACGCGTCCAGACAAGTGGGTCAAGACTAGTTTGTCTCACAGTTCTTTAGAATAGAACTTACGTTTTCTGATTTTCTTTGTATAGATATTTTCTCTTTGTATTCCCCCTCTCACTCACACTTTTCTGCTTCTGGGTCTCTTTATTCAGTTTTACTCTAACAGCAAATTTTACTTTTAGGCCATGTATTAAAACCATACAAACCCATAATGGCTCTTTAAAAATTACAAAAGTCTATTTAAAAAAAAATAGAACAAAAACATAACTAAACTATGGTATTTCTTAAATTTTCCAAAGTCTCTTTCTCATTAGATGAGTGAGAAGACCCTCCAGGGCATTAACGGGCCGTTGCCATACTTGTCCGTCTTGCTGAGAGCCTGACCAAAGATGGGCATAAATGTGCAGTAATCAGATGTTCTTAACTAACTCACTACTATTTTTTTTAAGAGTGGTAAAAAAAAAACGTGGAGGTGGTGATTGTTTCTCCTTTTGAACTGACAACTGAATAGAAGGTTATATTGGAGATATGGGTAGCTTCATCTGTTTATATGGGGCTCTTCCTTTGAAAGTAAATACCACACACACATGAACTTGGGCTGTTCCACCAGATTCCATCACATACAGTTATTATTATAATATTGAGCCCATAATCTACACATTGAGTATATTACAATGAAGCTCATTCTCATTTGCTCTACTGGATTCTATATCCATGACTACTACTTCTTTCCCCCCTTAAAAAGTGTTTAATTACACAGGTAACACATGAATATACTTTGCTTGTTAAAAATAATCCTGGTTATGGCTGGTTCCTTTTGTCCTGCTGCTATTTCTATTATGATACATGATTCTTCATCATTCATTGTCTTACAAAATGCGTTTAAGTCTAACATTTTTTTCATCTTCAAAGGGCACTGGGAATTGCAGCTCTTTCCTCTGAGTGCTTGCCTGTGTGGCTCTAGCTTACACGCTTGGCTGTGCTCCGTGTGCCTGCCTTCTTGATGCCTCTAAATTGGCTCAGCTGTGGCCTTGCCTCTTAACTTTCATCTCTTAGAAATAGCCTCATTAGTGAAGCATTTAATACCTAGTTCAAGTACAGTCGGCCCTCGGTTTCTGTGGGTTCTGCATCCATGGATTCAACCAGCCACAGATCAGAAATATTCAGAAAAAAAATTGTGTTGGTACTGAACATGTACGGGCTTTTTTTCTTGTCATTATTCCCTAAACAATACAGTATGATAACTATTTACCTAGCATTTATATTGTATTAGGTATTTTAGGTAATCTAGAGATCATTTAAAGTACACAGTAGGATGTGCATGAGTTATATACAAATACACTAGATTATTTTATATCAGGGACTTGAGCATCTGAATATTTCGGTATCTATGGGAGGTCCTGGAACCAATCTCCCACGCCCCCAGATACCAGTGGGACTATTTCCTAATGTAGGAAATAGTAGAAAATGGCAACTTCCCCTTCAGCGTCATGGAAGCCCGTGAAAAACAGTGACTCTGGAGGACTTGTGGCTGGAGATGAACCCGCTGGGAGCCAGGAGAAAGCAAAACTTTCCTTCATTGCATCATCTGGTACTTTCAGCTGTTGCTCTGTGGAGCTTTTCCAGTGTACTTGATCTAGGAATCTGGTCCAACATGGAATTATGAAAGGCAGGACACAGATTGTTTATGCTGATAGAATTACCTCAGGCACAGCTTTTGCTTGAAGTTAGTAGCCCTGTTAAAAAAGGTGATCTCTAATTTAAGCAGTTCCCGTCTGGTGTTATGGAAGTAGCATACCGTCACGTCTGGGAGAGCCTGAACCACTCGTCTGGGCCGTGTAAAATTTGAGTGCTGAGTGTATAACCCTGTCTGAATAGTACCTGCAGTGACCTGAGAAATGTAACTTCCTCCAACTGCCAGCTGGTGGTGGAAGGCAGGGAAGAGCTTCTCACCTGCTAATCCTCCTTCTGAGTCCTGGGGTACTGAAACGGCCAGCCTGCCTTTTGCTGCTAGTGCCACAGCATGCATCCAAGGAAGGGAGGGTGCAGCTGCCTAGAACAGGGGCTCCAGAATTTCCATAGGAAGGGATTTAGGGTGGGCCACTCTGGAGGCCTAGACCAGAGGGATGGTGGAGGGAGAGGAATGGAGTACTAAGGAATTTGAAGCTACATTTGCAAAATAAATACAGTTTTTACTTAGATTGCATATTTATTTAGGGTGGCTTTGGGAAAGGCTGCTAGATACAGGGATCTGAGTGTTCTCCCAGATCTGTTAGCACTACCTCTACCTACGATCTCTTCTTTTAATGTTCTTCCTCCCCATTATCACAGTGGGAAGCTGGGGCAGAGGAGGGATGAGGATGTCCCAGCAAGAGGCCATATTCCTGTTACTGTGGTTTAAGGATCTGAATGGGGAGAGATTGAGTATGTCTATAATGACCTTTAGCTGTAATATGTGTTGGCTGGAGAAAAGGAAGATTCTGGGCCAGTGGGGGATAAAGGAATCCACCAAGCCAGAGTTAGATACTTTTGATGTTCTCAGCTGAATTTTGTTTTAGAAAGTTTTTAAAATTTTGTTTTAGAACGTATTTAAAACTGCATGCAAGTGGAGAATGAGGATTCTAAGATTCTTCTTTAACTAAAGATAAATATAGGAAAACTAAGCAGGGATGGGTTGAATGTGCCACATGTATGTACACGAGTCCATTTTATCCGTGGATGAGTTGAGAGAGAAAAGGCACGGGATGATACAGGAAGATGACCTTGGTGTCATAGTATACTGAGACTTCTGCAGAACAGGTGAACAAAGAACAGCCAATGCAACCCTCTGCCATGAACTGGGAAGAAGATCACTGGCCCTGGAATTCCAGTTCTCTCCATCTTTCACTTCTCCAGGCGCCCCTGCCTTCTGCCTCTCACACAATGATGCCCTCTTGTTTTTTCCAATCAAGATTTGTCATCTAGGATTTAGGTAAGGGGACTTGAGCTTGTTTGTTTTACTCAGGTGAATGGGGTGAAAGTGCCGTTTTTCTCTTCTGTTAGGAGGAACAGTTCTTATTTTCTGTCTTGAGATAGAAAACATTCTTAGTTTCTGTATTAGTGTGATTAGACATCGATCCATAAGGCATATATTGTTTCTCCTGCTTTTACTTTCACAAGTAACAACACCTCAAAAATTGCCAAAACCTTGGCAGGTTGTAATGATTGACTAGTGGTCAATTCCAACTCCAGATGTACTGATCTGCTTTTTATATGCTCAGCCTGTTTCTTTAATTTTTAAAAGTAACTGTACCAGAAACGTGATCTAAAGCAGCGATCCCCAACCTGTTTGGCACCAGAGACCGGTTTCATGGAAGACAATTTTTCCACTGAAGCAGGGAAGGGGAGGTGGAGCCTGTGCAGCCCGGTTCCTAACAGGCCGTGGACCAGTATCGGACCAGGATTGGTCTGAGGCCCTGGGGTTGGGGACCCCAGATTTAAACGTCCAAGCCTAAGTCAAGTGTGGATCCTTTCCTCTTCTGTACTGGCTTTTCAGATTCCGATGTGTAATGCTTCCCTGAAGCTGATCCCTAACTCTGTTTCAACCGTTTTATTTTCTTAACTGAGGATTAGTTTCCTAACCCAAAAGAAATGTATATTGCATTTATTAACATTTCTTATGGGAACACACACCACTCTCAGGCTCCACCGTCTGCCCCTTTTTTTCTTTGTGTTTTTTAGAGTTAGTCTTAATGGGGATGGTGATGCTTGTTCAAATGTTGTCATAGTTAATACTGAAAACCACGGGGGTGCATCACTTCTCCTTTCTTCTCAGTTGTGGATGTTACCGATACCCACGTATAGCGGTGACTGCAGCCCTACGTGTAGGTGGACTCTGACTTCCCTGGTTATGCTCTGCTGTAGGTGGGAGGGAAAAAGCAAGGACATTCAGCAGAAATGCGTATTGAATAAGGATCTTCAGGTTCATTTTTACCAGAAACAAAACCAAACAAAATAGCGATTGTAGGTAATTAATGGGTTTTTGTTGTTATTGTTCTTATGTTATTGTTCGAATTCTATTAAAATGAAACCAAATTTATTTTCTCTTTGAATTGAAGTTTTTCCTTTCTGGAAAGAATTTCTAGAATGATGATGGGAGGGAAAGATGGTCTTTTGTGCTTGGATAGGGGGAGAGAGAAATTTCTGTGTAACAGGCAAATTGGCACAAATTTCAGAAAAGAGGTATCAAAAAATAACTTTAAATGAAGTTAAAGACTTTTTAGTAGTTAATCTGAGGGAAGTGGTCACTTGATAGTTGATAAGATACTTAGAGAGCTTTGCTTCTACTACTTGAATATGGATTTGGTTAGTAATGGTTTAGAACCCACTGAATAAAATAAATATCAGTCCATGCTGAGCTAAATAAAAAAAATGAATACACAAATAAATAGGGGAGAAGGGACAGCTATTTCTTACACTAGAATTCGAATCACCAAATGCAGACTGAATGATGGAAATAGAGAATCATTATTAAGTAAATACCATAGTAATAATTATTTTTGGCAAGAATTATCAATGGATACAAAAACGAGTGGACAAAGGTGTGATGAGAAACAGGATTTTGTATAGTCTCACAGTATCTCCCTACAAGACATTTGTTGATTACAAAGGATGGAGAAACCTGGCAGACCCCACCTTAACCAAGTTAAAAAGTTAACATCCCCAGTAATGAGACACGTTATCCTTGTGCAGGTCCCAATGGCCCTGAGGTCACGTCTGTGATATTCTTGCCAAAAATGCACAACCTGAATCTAATTATGAGAAAGCATTGGACAAATTCAGTTGAGGAACATTGTACAAATAACTGGCCTGAGCTATCCAAACACATTAAGGTCGTTAAAGACAAACTGAGGAGCTGTCACAGATTGGAAGGCCAAGGAAACACCAAAGTTAGATACAAGGTGATAACCTGGATTGGATCTGGACAGAAGAAAAGGCCTTAGTGGGATAATTTGTGAAATTTGAATAAGGCCTGAAGATTACTTGATTGTATCAATGTACATTTCATTATTTCAGTATTGACTATAGTTATATAAGGTGTCATCATTAGAGGAAGTTAGGGGAATAGCATTTAGGAGATCTCTATACAAATTTGACAACTTTTTGTAGAATGTTCTGGTGTGATTTTGAATGATTTAGAATTTGTTTTTTTGGCAAAAAGTAGGATAAATGTATATCAAAAGACACCTCTTTATATTCTCCTTTACTATTCTCTAGGATTGTCAGTCTAGCAAGTCAATTTTAGAGTACTTGTGAGTATCCTCCAAAAATTTGGTTGTAGCCCTTTTACCTGTGGCCTGATTGAGTTTTCCAATAATCATCTGAATACAATTATTTCAGTTTTGTAATGGTAGAAGCGGAGGCATCGAGCAATCGTGACTTAGCTCAAAATGGCAATAGAACCAGGAATTTAATACTTTAGATCATTTGTTATTATTCTTTTAACGAGGTCTAATTTTCTCTCATCTTAAATCAAAAATGTGATAGAAACATTTCAGAAAATTAACTCTAGTCTACAAAATCCAACAGATGACAAGAGGAGTAGATCTTTTTTGAATTCGATATGTATTTATTGCCTTCAGAGTAATTTAAGTTCCTTGAGTTTAGCTTCTGTAGGTCCTTCCTCATTGTATGGCCAGGCTTTCAGCTCCCTGCTTCCCCATGGTAGGATGTCAACAAGTACATGGAGAAGATGCAAATCTAACCGCTGTGGGCTGGCGAAGAGAATGGTGTGTTCTGGAGGTGAAATTTATTCCAAAAGAATCGAATAGAAATGAGAAGTGATGGAATTAACTTTTTGTGATAAAAAATTTCAATAGAAAAATTTACTTACCTTATTAAGTCTTAATTCCATACAAACCTTTGACTTCTAATAAATAGGAGATCCAAAGTAGAGTAAAAGACAGAAAAATTAGAGACCTATGACTTCCCTGCTGGTAGTAATGTGCGCTTTGGTGACATTTATCTTTCTAATTTAAAATTAAACATCCATATCTACTGTTTTTGACTTTTTATTACTGCATTAATTCCTGTCATTTTTCTCATTAGCATTTCTTCTGTGTCTAAAACATCTTTTCTTCTGTTTTTCTTGTCTTTCATCAACTGTGTTTGACACAGCTGCTATATATTAATAAGTTTCTTGTCATTGAAAAAATCAGAATTTTTAGGGGCTGATTTTGAAGGATTTAAAGAAAGTCTTCATCCGTTCACAAATTATTTTAGATGGGGGTGAGTTGGGTACAGGACTGTCCCATAGAATCAAAGACCTCAAGCAGCTTGTGGGAAGGTGGTTAAAAACAGAGTCACAGAATATCACTGTGGTCTCTTGGGCCCAGTTGATATCATCCCCAAGTCACCTTGGCCAAAAGTTGAAGTAGCATTAGGTTATTTTTCTTCCTCCCACACGTACAAGTGACAAAGGCAAGAACTCAAGCCTGGTTCCTTAATGCCACTTATCACTTCATTTGCCTGAACCTTCTGTCTCCAACTCTGAATTTTATTTGAGACACATTTGCCTTTCAGGAAAGATGTCCGGGTAGTAGTATAACAGATGAACAAAGCTGGCTTTCAGTATAATAAAAGTCTAACTATACTTTTAAAAGAACTATGGTAAAATATATGTAACATGAAATCGACCATAATTTCTTTTGCAAGGATTGTGGAGGAGCTTTCATTTAAGGTACCTGATGAAAATGCAGTACATTTTTGGGGGGAAAATGTTTTTTATAATTAAATTTATGTTTTACCATACTTTACTTGGAATGAAGAAGACTGAACTTCCTTGTTTTGTGGCCCTTCAGACATTTTAACTAACTTAGCTTGATCCATTTGCAAAATAAATAAATGAGATGTTTTTTGTAGGGCAGAGGATTAGATTTTGAATGCCTTTTAAATATATTTTATTTGTTAAATACAATTTTAGCTACATCATTCTCTTACTCCAGTTTTCTCAAGTAGACTTCCTGTTGTTAGTCCCAAGAATCTAACTTCTATCTAGATATATTTTATACCAAAAAAGTAATAGTTTAGAGTTGAAATTGACAAGACTAACACTGTGTCCTGGATCAACTTGCTGAAAATCTGGAAGGCTCATATCAAATCCTTTGATTTTCTCAGCTATAAATCTTTTAAGCAATGTCAATATACTTACATCTTGACGTCAACGGAATTAATATTTTTAGAATGCCAGTTTAAGAGCAGTTAGTTTTTCCTGTATCTGCCTTTGAAATGCAATTTAAAAATGATTAATCTGAAATGTCACTTAGGTATGAATCATTGTTGTTTACTAGCAAACCTTTGGTTCATATTGCCATCTGAAATGGAAATGGTAGTCTAGTCACAAGAAATGTCTTAGGGTCTGAGATAATCAATGTGTAATAACTGAGGGTTCCATGAAGTGATTTTTGTCAAAAGAAATTATTTTTAGATTATTTAAAAGGTACTGTTTCCTAGGTGACAAATGAAATTTTCATAATTCCTGAGGCACTGTCTACCTGACCTTAGTTTTTAAGGGTTCCAAAGCTAGAATTATAATCTTTAAAAAATTTCTTAAATGAATGTAGAGAGAAAAGGAGCATCTGCCATATACGAACATGAATAATTTGGCAAGTCCAAGTTGTCTAGTCTTAGTAGCCACTGATGAAAGAATGGAAGGTGATTGATGAGTTTTGTGATTGGTGCCTTGAACAGTGATTCCTAGCCATGGTGGAGGAAAGGGGGTGATTTGAAAATTGCTGCATGTGCTACTGCATGAACAGTATAGAGAAAGAGAACTTTGCAAACAATTGGCGTATAGAGAATATAAGTAAAACCAGGAAAGGAAATCATAAAAGGCTGGTAACTCATGGCTCTTTGATGACTGAAATCTCATCTTTCTAATATCTCTGGTTTCAGATTGCCTGTTTGGTACCTGTCGATCAGTTTCAGCTTTATCAGCGATTAAAATTTGAACGAGGTATGCACTCTTTTTTTTTTTTTTTTTTTTGTATCCTGATAGTGATTGTGGTTTTACATGTGTCATCTTTACCCGCACGGGAGATTAAGGCAGCTGTGGGCTGTCAACAAAGCCACAAGGGTACTCCAAAAGGGGAAAACTGTAATTGCAACATAAAAGTTCCTTTCAGCCACAGCCAGAAAAAAATGCAGACTAGCAGGAAATGGAACTGTCCTTATGTTGTTTGTTTTGTATTTTTAATTTGGTGAGAAAGGTTTTGCAAAAGTTGGATGGTTTTATAATAACAGTAATACAAAAGAAAGTGACTCTCAAAATGTGTGTTACCACCAATTTTCCCACTCTTGAAGATTGTTTTGAAACATGAACCAGCCCAGACAATTTTACTGTTCCTTAATATTCACCATTTGTTTTTTGATACTACTTTTGTAAGCATGGTGATAGTTGAGAGAGTTTGGATCTGTTTCGTGCTACTGTGAATTTACAATGCATTAGACTGATTTTCTTTCTCAGTTTGGACTTGGGGTAATTTATATAGCTTTTCTATGTACATTGCCCATTTATCTGTAGGAATTATACTTTTTACTCCTTTTAGGCTTTTGATAGGTCTTTTTTAGGAGCCCTTTCCCTCTTACCATACCCTAACATATCCTTGAACTACATGGTCTATTTTTTAGCATCTGAGAAGTAGGAGAAAATTGTTTCCCCCAGAACTCATAGGACTGGCATAGTCTCATTGAGTATATAAAAAACTCTAATCTAGCATGGGCATACAGTTTTCTGATTGCTAATATTTAAATACGGATTAATAAAGCCTAGAGTTGTGGGTAGGGGAAAAAGTGAACATTTATCTGTCATATGCCAGTAAGTTTGGTAAGCACAATTACCTTTATCTCATTTAATTTTTACAACTACCCAGATAGATAATGCTACGAGAAAAAAAGAAAGAAAACCATGCACAGCATGAAGAGATACAGAGTAGGAACATTTGCTGGGGATTCATAGGATGGCAGTTGCTACTTTAGAACAACATCTGGCTCAGTCTTAAAGGCTAAGAACGCTGATATTTTTTTCACCAAGCCAAAAGTGGATTCATCTCTCATGGATGGATCACTTAACTAAACTCATAAGACTGATACATTAAGTGAATTTACAAAAAAAAAACCCTTGGATTAGATTGTTTGAATTTCAAACGGCAGGTACATTTTTGCCCTATAGAAAGATCTAGATGGGAAGTCAGGAAATAAAATGTTGTTGAAAATGGAATCAGAACTAGGGGAGTCTGATGAATTGACTTTTAGTGGATGAAGACATAGTCTGATGTAGCTGTCCTGTGTAGATTCTGAGCTAACTTGAGAAATTAATGATGGGGGTAGTTTATAGTGGCCCTCCCTAGTCTATTCACATGGACTGGTTAGATTGAGCATTATAACACCAGATACTTATTTATTGGATATGACAGCTAAAGTTGATGAAGGCATCAAACATCTGCTCTGCCATTCTCCCACTTTATCCCAATATCCTCCATTATAAAACTCAGTTATAACTGGAACATGGACATTCCCGGTATTGGGCCCTGTGATGACCAGCTGGTAGTGAGTGCTATGATTTGCTGACTTTTACCTGGAGAGAGTCTAAAGAGTTAGATTGGACTTTTCAGGCTTCTGAAATGGTGAGATGTGGCCTATCAACGTCATCAGTCCTACTTAGTGACTGGTGCTCAGTCTGTCCATGGTATTCCCTTGCTCCACACGTACCTTTCTTCTCCCACGACCACTGACTTCCTCCCCACCACTCCTGCTGCCCCATCTGTCAGTAGCAGGCCTATTCCTGATTGCTTACGTTTTAGGGGACTATTCTAATAGTATCAGCAATTAAAACTTTCTGTGTGTTGCTTCTCACGGGTGAGTATAAAGTTTTCGTTTATTTAAAAAATAGCGGCTAAGAGCCTGAGTGCAACCGCAGGCTCCACCGCTTGCCACCTGGGTGACTGTAGGCAAGGTCCTTAAAATTTCTGCACTTCTGTTTCCTCATCTGTAAAATGGAGATGATAATCGTCCCTATACCATAGGGTTGGGATGAGGATTATGTGAATTAATACTTGCAAAGCACTTCCTATGAGTGCTTCCTATCTCAGCATCCAAACCTTTCACAGTTGTTAGTAATAAAAATACTAATAGCTCAAAGGTACCACCTTTAATTTAAGTACACTCAAAGTTCTTCTCCTAAACCCTTTTGACAGATGAGATAATCATACCATTCTTCAGGAAATATCCCCATATTGAAATGGATATTATGCTGCTCTTGTGAAGAGGATTAGAACACTTGAAGTTAATCGTCAACATCCATCTTTACAGTAGGAATAGCCTTGCCATGGGCGAGGTACACATGGACTATCATTGGCCAAGATTCTCATTTTCCCCACATAGTGCTTGGCTTTTTGTGTTTTCTGTAGTATTCAACCCTGCTTGTAACTGGCTTATTTCTTCATTAGATGTGGTAATATATTCAGTCTGGCTACAGTCAAGTTGGGCAGGCCTCAGAGCCAGTGCCTCTCTTTTAGGAAATATTGTATATCTCTACTTGGCTCCATTATAAGTTGATCAAATAGTTTTATTTATACATGGAATTTATTTTTTCTCATGAATTCTATCTAAGCAGATGCCCCACAGTGGATCTCATGCATTGACAATTAATTTCATTAATCTCATTTCATAGTATGTTAAATTTGGTGACCTTTTGGTTTGACCCCCTCATTTTATAAAATAAAAGGAAACTGAGGCCCAGAGATACTTCCATCTTAGGTGATTTTGGAAGGTAATTTTTCATCATGTAATCCTTCATTATCATCCATAATAAATAATTATTATTGGCAAATAGATGATCCAATTAAGAGTAAGTTTAAGTTAATAAAGTGCTACATAGTGGAATTTACTTAGTTGGTATAATCTTTATCCAAATTGTATATTTCATTTTTACATAATAGACTTCCTGTCTACCTCAAACTCGTGACCTTTATCAGCTAGGTGACTTTGAGGTTTATGTTATAAAAATATGTTTTATATGGAACTGTTTATAAGGAGATCTTACAATGCATTAAATACTAATATTGTCAATGAGTTAAATGAGTAACTGGCTGAAAGTAAATTTCATTGGTGGGGCTGTGAGACAGAATTGTAGAGATTGTTATTGCTCTGTAAAAATGTAGACTCAGAGTAGATGCAGCCCTATATTTTAGTTATAAGAATTATCCTCAGTTCTGTCCAATTCACATTGCCACGTTCTTTTCTCAGTCTTTAGTTTGTTGTCCAGTGTGTGAATTGTCTTCTGCTTTATGTTACGTATTTGATTAGCTTGCCTTTTATGTCTTTGTCTTCATCTAAGTCTGTGGGGAAAAATATTTTGAACAGGATCACACAAAAATCATCACCCTGCACAAAGCAAAGAAGCACTATTTAGCATTGGTTGGTTATTCTCCCCACTTTCCATCCATCTGTGACTTTTCCATCGGCTACTACTATATTTCTGGGTTTCCCTTTCTGTGTCAGCCGTCCAATATTAACAAAGAAAAGGGAATGCTAAGTTTGCCATGTGTTAATGATCACTGCTTTCCTTTCTACTGGTTCCCAAAGTACATGTCTGATGATTTATGCTAGAATTTTGCTTGTCTCTTATTTCCAGAGTCTACTTTTTCAAAATAGTTTTTTTTTTTTTCTGAAAATTGGGTTAAGATTATCCATCTCTAGTTCTTAAGCACTTTTCCTAATTTTTTTCACCCTGTTTTACTTTTTATAACTGTAAGTTGCTTCAGTTCCTTGCTGGGTTGACATGTCTGTTCTTTGATATTTATATTATCATATAGTGGTTAGGAACTCTTACAAATGGGTTATCATGTTGTTCTCCTTCATAAAAAAGTGAAATGAAATAAAAATTTGTTTTTCTATTATTTGTTAATTCTACTCTATTCACTCCCGTATTCAATATGTGCTTATTTATATACTGAGTATCTAGCCTATGCTAGGTACAGTTCCAGATGCTTCCTCAACCTATGGTTGCATCTTTTTGTGACAGTCCTTTTGTTCTCAGCATTCTTCACAAGGCTCCTTTCATTTTGTGTCTTCACATTTATGATTTTTTTTAAATTTCAGAGTATTATGGGGGTACAAATGCTTTGGTTACATAAATTGCCTTTGCACTGCCCGGAAAGTATGCCCATCCCCCAGACAGCACATACCACATCCCTTAGATGTGAATTTATCCATCCCCTCCCCCTGCCTCCCACCTGCCTGACATCCTATGAATGTTACTTCCCATGTGTGTAGATTAGTATTGATCAATTAGTACCAATTTAATGGTGAGTAAATGTGGTGTTTGTTTTTCCATTCTTGTGATACTTCACTTAGAAAAATGGGCTCCAGCTCCATGCAGGATAATACAAGAGGTAGTTCATCATTTTTTTTTAATGGCTGAGTAGTACTCCATGGTATACATATACTACATTTTGTTAATCCATTCATGTATTGATGTGCACTTGGGTTGTCTCCATGTCTTTGCAATTGTGAATTTTGAGACAAAAATCTTGCTCTGTTCCCCCGGCTAGAGTGCAGTGGTGTCATCATAGCTCACTGAAACCTCAAATTCCTGGGCTCGAGTGATATTTCTATCTCAGCCTCCCGAGTAGCTGGGACTACAGGCATAGGCCACGACGCCCAGCTAATTTTTCTATTTTTAGTAGACATGAGGTCTCACTCTTGCTCAGGCTGGTCTCTTACTCCTGAGTTCAAGTGATCCTCCTGCCTTGGCCTCCCAGAGTACTAGGATTACAGGCGTTAGCCACCATGCCTGGCCCACATTTGTGATATTACTCTTTGCGTTTCATCTCGCTTTTTTATTTGCCCTTAGTGAAATGCTTCCACCCCAGCTTTTGTATCTGATCATAAAAGTTTTATCTCATCAGAGCTCCCTGTGTAGTTATTTGGTTTCTTTTAGTGTTTTTCCCTCTT